ACCCAATCACTCAGACAGGGTGCGGGATAAGCCCTCGACTTGAGCACGAAATCCCGAAAACCGCGAAAAATGACCTAATGACTATAATCCCTACACTCCTAAGCCCTAAATAGGGGTTTAAGGTTTAGAGTTTAGGGTTTAGGGCTTAGGGCTCAAGGGTTTAGGGGCTTAGGGTTAAGGGGCTTAGGGCTTCGGAGGTTGAGGGGTTTTGGGTCTAGGGGCTTTGGTTCGGGCCTGTGTGAGAAAGGTGTTGCTGTTACCGGTCGCGCAGTCGGCGAGGCTCGGGGTGTAGTCCCGTGGCAGCCTTTTTGAACAATTTGGGTTCCTCTTATGACAGGTTTAGGGTTTAAGATTTAGGGTCTATAGGGAGATTACCATAATCGGGATGCAGAATTTGTAATGTAGATCTCTTACTCTGATACTTTGAGCTCGGTTTTCCAAAGCAAGAACCAAGATTTCTACTCTAAACCCTACAGCCTAAACCCTGCTACGGATCGCTAAGCTAAGACATTCGTTCATCTCGTGGCCGGTGCACCGGAGCCTACTCTTCTGTTTTAAGGGCTAGGGTTTAGGGGTTTTTGGGTTTCTAAGGAAGCCCCACAACCCCCAAAGAGTCCTAAGTACCTCTATAGTAGCATGTAGGGTTTCTATATTAGGAGTTACTAGCCCTAAACCCTAAACCCCTAAGCCCTAAACCCTAAACTCTAAATCCTGAACCCTCAACCCTAAATTGGGAAGTATCCCGCATAACACTACCTAGGACCCTTCGGGAGCAGATTTGAAGCCATCGCTTCATTTTTGGCAGGTGCCGGGCGGAGGCGGAGGAGGCACTCGACCGATGGGGTTTAGAATTTAGAGTTTAGGGTTTAGGGTCTATCAGGGTTAAGGGTGGCTTCGTGAGGTTCTACAGCGGTTTTTATCAGGTTTCGAATGTTGTGAAGTTCTTTGAAGGGCTGAAATGTCAAGGGCTTCTAGGGTTCTATGAAATTGTGACACCGCCTTTCTGGGGCACCTGTAAAAAATGCGAAGCTCGACATGCTTCAGAAACGAAGCCAAGGGCCCTGAACCCCTAAAGCCAGACTCCCTAAAGCAACAACACATGAGTAGTTCTCTACACTAGGGTCCCTTTGGGGGTGCTTTTGTGAGGGTGCCGTACTATATTGGGGACCCAGAAAGGGGCACTATTTTAGAGAACCACCCACATAATGTAGGGGCCTAAATAATTACCGATACTGTTTTGGGGGTTCCTTATAATAACTATATAGTGGGCCCCGGAAAACCTTACTCTAATTATTAAGGCCCCATTACACAAACACCAAGCCGATAATCCCTAGGCTCAGAGTCTAAACCTCTCATGGAACTCCTCATGAAACCGGCGACCCTTCACCGAACCTTTAGAGAAACCTTTTGTTGAACCGGACCTGTACAGGAACCCTTAAAAAGAACTCCTATGGAATCCTTAGCCCTAAACTCTATAAACCCTAACCCCTAAACCCTAAACCCTAAATTAAACCGGATCTTTATTGGGAAGTGTCACGGATTCCTTGAAATACCCCAGCCTCGAAATCGCGAGCCCCGTAAATGACTGATATACCCAGACCCCCGGAAGGATCTAGAAAGTAGATCCTCTAAGGGGGTTCCTATCAAGAGCCCTTAGTAGTATGGGGTCCCAATTTAGGGGTTCTACTCAGGGGTTCTACTTTCTAGATCCTCCCGGTGGTCTGGGTAGAAGCCTGAACCATTCCCAAGTTCCTTATCACACTTTTCTACAGTTCCTATAATATTTATGTACCATCAAACCCCATTGAAATTCTGGAGGTGCCTACAATAGACCCTTACAGCAACAATTATGGTATAGGTCCTGTCGAATTCCCGTAGCATCAAAACAGCCCAAAAGCCTTACATAATAGGGTGTGTGGGCCAAAAGACTTAAAATATGGGTCCTTTGAATGTAAAGGATTCAGAAGGAGCCTCTACGAAACTCCTTAATCTCTAAGCCCTAAACCCCTAAATTGGACTTAGCTTCCCCTAAACCCTAAACCCTAAACCCGAAACCCTAAACCCTAAACCCTAAACCCTAAACCCTAAACCCTTCTTCTTCAGGGGCCACCGGATCTTCTCCCCAAGCGTCGCCACGCAGAGAACTCAAGTCGGTGAGCAGGATTTAGGGTTTAGGGTTTAGGGGTTTAGGGGTTTAGGGGTTTAGGGGTTTAGGGGTTTAGGGGTTTAGGGGTTCAGGCTTCAGGGTTGCAAGGCTAAGGGGTGTAGGGCTTAAGGTTTTAGGATTTAGGGTTTAGAGTTTAGGATTTAGTGTTGAAGAGTTTAGGGTTTAGATTTTAGGGTTTAGCGTTTAGCATTCAGGGTTAAAAGTTCAGGAGTTAGCATTTAGCCTTTACAGTGAGGGGTTTAGGGTTTAGGGTTTCTGATCAAAATCAAAAGAGGCTTGGGGTTTCGGATGCGTAAGCCATCAGAGTGTTATCAGGGTTGGAGGATCGATGAGACTATTCATATGTTTCCCTCCCTAAGTACTCATATCAGCCTATGTAGTAGAATGTAGGGTTTATATATCAGGAAGTTCTATTATGATTTGGGAAGCATCCCCCGTAACACTACCTGGGAGCCTTTGGGTTTTGGACGGTTTGATGTAGTGGCTTATCAGGAGCCGCTACGGTTTCATTGCGGTCCATGTAAGTGTTGTAAATGGTCTACCCATAGGCCCCATAGTAGTTCCTTTTTGGGGTTCATACTTAGAATCCTACAATCCCCAAAAGGAACTACTATCGGGCCTATGGGTAGCCCCTAAACCCGACACTGCCGACCTGCCCGTTGCAGTGGAGCATCACTGCTCAAGTCCCTGTAGCCCCCGGCAGCTTAAGGCCCCGCCGCTTGCACCCGCAATGCCGACTTTGCCGGACGCTCTTCGTAGTCGCAGTCCCAGGCCCTTGCGACATGCTGTCGCCACGTTCCCGTATTACTCGGTGGCGCAGGAGGCTCTGCATTTTAGGCAGAGTGCCGGACCTCGCTCATGCTGGCATCGGCGAGAGGTCGGCTGGAGACGGGGAAGGACAAGAAGCAAGCTGCACCGGTCGAAGCAAAGGTGGAGAAAGACCTTGCCAAGTTGGAGGATGGGAGTGACCTGAGCGAAGCCTGGCTCGGCCTGGGCATGGGCGGCAGCTCGTCGTCGGGGGCAGTTGGTCCTCATCTGTGTCCTTTGTCAGCGGAAATCTCAGGACGTGTGCGGCACGGGCTGGGTAAGTTACCAACGCTACGACGATTAACTGGTTTCGGAACCATACCTTATTCAGTTTAGGGTTTAGGGCACAGTACCTGTTGATGATTGCCTTGTGAATCTTGAGTGCAGTGATGTGAATTTCCCACAAATCGCGGTGCAGGCTTCGTTTCGTTCAGACTATACAGCACCCGCATACGCTTGATGTCCCAGATGTGTCATTGCCTTTTCGTGTTGCCCGACCTTTCAGTACCACATGAACCTGCAAAGTAGAGCCCTTTTATACTGGCCGTATAGGAACCATTGGGGAGGCGCGCGTGCGCCTACGGTGGGCACGGCAAGATTCTTAGCTTAGGGTTGGCGGGTTTTGGATTAAGGGTGTAAGCTCCCAGGTAGCACTCTTTTACACTTTCATTGTCGTGCTGCAAAAGTTGACAAATACAAAAGAAAATAACTTGTAGAGCCCCTTATGGAAGTCTTATGGCAACCTTACAGAACTCCGTTACAGGAGCACCCCCCAAACCCCAAATCCCGAAACCCAGCAACCCGCTAACCCCTAATTGGCCCTACCTCCGGAACCACAAGACACTATTTAATTAATTGAACTACCATAACTTTGTTTTTTGCAGGTTCTTCTTGTGAACATAAGATAGAATTTGAAGTGGTCCTCCGTATTTCATGGTAAGCCCCGCAGACCCCAAAGATCTTAAAAGCCTAGAAACGAAATCCTAAACCCCAAGCTTCCAAGCCCTACGTAAACTTGAAACTGCCGAGAGCGCCGCTGAGGGCGCTCGAGGCTCCCACCGAGGCCCCCGCCCGAGCGTCTCGACAGGACGGTGAGAGAGGGTAAAGTCTTCCAGTAGACGCGGACGGAAATGACTCGGCTTTTTCGGGCGACCCGGATGTGGGGCCGGTCCCACGGCCCTTTTCCAGGAAGGGTCTGAGGCCAGGCAGATTCCTGACAAATTCCAGGGAGCCGGCCGGTCCTGAGGGGCGACCTCTCGGGTTTGGGGGTTGTATGGTAGGTTTATTGGGACGACCTTTTTTCGCCAGGATAGGTGATTACACGTCGAGCAACCCTCACAGGGTGCGAGGGACGGGTTGTTTATTGTTGCAAACCCTTGCTTCTTGTCGAGCGGTCGGCACAGGCTGCGAGGACCCACAACACGACACCAATCCATCTCAGTTCTGGTCCTAAAACGAAACTCTAAACCTTGAAACACAAGCCCCCAAACCCAAAAAATTGAAACCCCAAAACCCTAAACCCTGCATAACCCGTATAGAACCCCTTCATGCATCCCCTTACAGGAACCCTCGGTGTGGGTTGTTCAAGTTAAAGTTCTAAACCCCAAACTGAACCATTAAACCCTGGCTCCAAGCCCTAGTCCCTAAACCATAAAAACCTACGGCCTCAAACTCCAAACCCCACAGCCTGGAGCCCCAAAGCCTTAAACCCTAAGGGTATATTCTACTGTAATATATAATTACAGTAAAGAGCCTCTGAACCTTATTCTAATTATTACGCCCCCCCCCCACATTAGGGTTTAAGGTGTAGGGGTTTAGGGTCTTTAGTTTTTGTTGTGTTTTTCTATTGTGGATTTATGGGCCATAGGTTACAGTTGATCCATTTCTACAACTTCGGTTTCAAAGTAGCGTGTAAGGAAGCGATGAAGGGGTCTGCTAAAGCCACCACCCCTCCTTTTTGCAGGGAGCCTCAACACGGAGTATCATGTCCTACCCTAAACCCTGAACCCTAAACCCCAAAGCAAAGGTCTTGGCTCCAAGAGGGGGTCTTCGACTTCCCGGAGTGGATCGAAGCAGTCGCCACTGGGCGGCCCTTTTTGTTATGTTTGCAATCGGGTCCTGAGCCCTAAACCCTAAACGCAATCCCTGCTGTAGGGGCTTTAGGGGTTTAGGAGGCTTGAGGAGTTTCGGGCTGGTCTTGGTTTAGACTGCAGGGCTTCATTATATCGTTTGCAAGTTGCAGGGCTCAAGGAGCTTGGGGAGTTTAGGGTTCATGTTGTTTGTTTTTTTTCTGAAGCGGTCGTGCGTTGGTCTAGGGATAGGGGAAAACCTGTAATGCGCCTACAAGTGTTTTACTGTGTGGTAGAGTTAGAAGGATTTGCTATGCGGTTTGATGAGGACACTGGGTGCTTGCAAGTAGGGTCACAAATAAGGTAACTAGCCGTTTGCTTGCAAATCGAAAGTCCGAATCAAACCCGAACCCCTGAGGCGTAAACCCTGCAAGAATTAAAACACGCCAGAGAGTTAAGCGCCTATGCGAATAGCCCTGATACAAAAATGCGTATATCGCTTCAAATTATTTCGAAACCTCGAATTCCAAGAGAAGCCTCGCAAAAACCGAAGCCTACTCATCAAACCAAACAGAACACACTCTGCCCCCTTCAGAAATGTCAAACCTCAGCCCTAAGCGCCACAAATTCGAAGCCCTCTACCTAAAGCCTAAACCCTCGACCTCCAACTCTCCCAAATCCTATTTAAACCCCAAACTCCTAAACCCCTAGACCCGAAACCCCTAAACCCCAAACCCCTAAACCTTAAACCCCAAAACCCTAAACCCCAAACCCTAAACCGCAAACCCTAAACCCCTAAACCCAAAACAAGGACCGCCGGGAAGCAGTCCTTGCAGCGAGTCTCTTCGAAGCTCCGAAAAGGCTCCAAGGAAAAGAGGCCAGGTCAGGTGTTTAAGGTTTAGAGGGGGGGGGGGCTTAGGGTTAGGTTTGGGGGTGTAGGGGTTGGGGCTGCGGTTGAGAAAGTCCCAGTCGTTGGGGTTCCTTGTTACAGCTCTAGTAGAGCATATCTCAAGACGGGCAAAACCTCCGGGGACTATCATTTCACCGCTTTTGGGCTGAAACACCATATTATGCAAGGCCTTCGGACGATTTGCATTGGTGGGTTTGGGGGTAAAGTTGGCAGAATACGGATAGTTCTTACTTTTACTTCAATGTGGTGACTTAAACTGAGCTCCTCAAGAAGAGCCGAGATGGAGATCCGCTTTAGGCTCTGTTTAGGTTTTAGGTGTTCAGGGCTTTAGGTCTTGAGAGATCAAGACCAAGGGGTTCAGGGTGGTTTAGCCAGGGTGTACGTCGAAGTTGACCCTAAATCCTACCTGGACCCCTAAGAACCTGCCTTTTTTGGGGTTCCTGATTATGATCGCCTTGTATAAATCCTGTAAAGGGTCGCTTCTTTGGGGTTTAAGTAAACCCTAAACTCAAGACCTACGCTGCTCTCCCGGGGTATGGGCTCTGGGGTAATATTTCTTGTGCGGGATTTACGAAAGCTCCGATGTTGACATGGGGATTGTAGGATCAAAGTTTGCAGTTTTAGCCAGACTTGACCGTTTTATGTCCTTCGTATTTTGGATGATGTAGGCTTTCGAGTCTAAAACCATGGACATTAAAGCCGGTATTATCTATGCAAAGGACCACATGACTGAGTGAGTAGGTTGTATATAGGTTTAGGGTGTAGGGCCCAGGGCTCAGTGGGGCAATTAGAACCCCGAGCATACTCAAAAACCCAAGTCAGCTGATCCGAAAATCCATATTCATACCGAACCTTGCTAGTCAAGAAGCCTTAAGCCGTAAACCCTAAACCTTAAACCCCAACCAAACCCTAAACCCAAAAGAAACCAGTCAACCTGAACCCCTAAAACCTCTAAGGCCCTTCTAGCCTACCCAGAGGCGCCATAGTTTCTCCACCACGACAACCACGACAACCACGGTCACCACGAGCACCACGAGCACC